ATTAATGAGAAATATTTTTTGTATAAAAAATATGCAAATATGTATGACTGATAATGAGAAATAGCCAAGCAAAATAAAAATATTATAGTTTTATTTTTCCCCAGTAAGGACACCTTGCAAAATATTAAGCGTAGTGGAAGGTTTTATATTTCAAATATAGTTAGACATTCAAATCTTTACTAAATTGTAAACAGAAAGTATTTTTTTTTTCTGTATACTAACTCGTTTTTCAAAGGAAAAAAAAGATAAAAGAAGAAGAAAAGAAACAAATAACACTAGATTTTTCACTACTCTTAATATTCATGGTGACAAGGTGTATATTGTGTACTTCTGCAGCAAAATGCTAATTAATGGTCAACATAATAAACTGTAACATTATAATGTAATTAGAAAAATATAAAAATAAAATCGTAAGAAATGCTACTTGATTGTGTAACAGAAAAGGCAGATTCAAATTTCCTTCTTATTTATGTCCAAAGGTGAACTGCATCATGGCAATAAATGCATTTTTATTTTTTTTTCTGCCATACAAAAATAACATGAAACTATAATAGCCATTAATCACAGTCTATAAATGGGAATAATTCAACTCTGTGTTCACAGAACATTCATTTTTGTTCTGTTTTAGACTCAAACCTCTCCCTGTCTCTTCTTGATTTTTAGCTAATTCCATCAAAGCTAATGCTCCTAACCATTTTTGACTGTCCTCAGGAATTGGTAACTTGATAAGATTATCCTCCTGCTTAACAACAACTACTTTTAAGCCTGTTTCAGATTCCATTGGCGGTAATTTTGAAATAGCATCTTTATTATTGTTATTGTTGTTGTTATTATTATTATTATTAAAACTTCCAGCTAACATTAAAACAGTTGGTCTTGTTATATTTTCACTGATATGAGAGTTCATAAATGTGTTTTGTTTAAACACCTCTTGTTGAACAAAATCTTTAATTTTTACATTAGATTGATTTAAAGGAGACTTGGGCGTTTCATTTATTAAATTATTATCCCAATATGTATGATTTGAATTTTCAGAAGATTCAAGCTTTGAAATAGAGTGATTAATATTAGTTTTCACTTGGTTTGTATTAGAAAAATTATTCACATTATGTTGTGAGGAATTCCAAATATTTTGGGATAATGTATTTGATATCTCAAATGTGTAGTTATGTTCATCCTTTGCAGGTGGTTCTAGAGATTCATTATCAGTAACTGTGTCCCAAGATATATGAGTAGATGTGTATGAAGGATCTACCTCTGACTTTGTGAGTTCAAGTTCTTTACATGCATTTAAACATGAACTATCTAATGAGACTGATGAATTATCAATAGGTGAACTCCACTGCATCTGGTTACCATTAATTTTAAATGAAATGGTTGTAGGTACATTGACAGGTTTAGTGTCCCAATTTAAAGGTTTGGCTAACTGTTGCTCCAAGCATGCTTCACGTAACCATCTTTTCTTTGGCTGAAGTCTATCTAATGGTCTTCTTAAGGGAGTAATTGCTAACTTTGTTGCTATTTCTTCATCTTCAGATGTTTGTAATACTGCTGGATCTTCATCTTGACTTTCTTCTTGGCTGTCTTGACTTTCTCCACAATACAATCTTTGATTGGATGGTTTGCAATCTAAATTTTCTTGCTCTCCTGTTGCATCCATCATTAGACCTTTTCTAGACTTAACTCTTTTATGATTCTCAGAACTACTCTTCCATGTTTTCTTTTTACGTTCATTTTTCCCTGTAGGTGTTCTATCCTCTCTTTCTCTGGACATTTTATAACGCTCTAGCCATCTTGTAACATCATGAGGTAATTCAGTATTCTCTGATACTGGTTTTAATACAAAATCATCAGATCGTGTAAGAGTAGCATATGGATGATCTGGGCAATGCCTATTAGCATGCGTAAATCTCATTTCACAGCCAGGTTCTGTACATAAAAAAGGCTTCTCTCCTGTATGCAGCCGTTGATGGGTCTTTAACTGTCCAGATTGTGTAAAAGCTTTTGTACATCCAGGATAATCACATGGGTATGGACGTTCTCCTAAAATTATAATTATTTTTTCATAACAAAAGATC